CAATGTAGTTCTTTGTGTGAAATTTTCTGAGAGATTAAAAAAACTGAAGAAACCCAGAAATGTCACTTTGTGGTATCATTTTGGCACTCATATGGTTCCCAGCAGAGCTGGAACAATCGGACCCTCCATTCTGACCCTTCTGATTGCTCCACATGACAAAACCTTCAGTGCCCATTGACCCATCTGCCCTCCTTCTAACCTGCCCTGCCCTGCCCCAATCCTATCTCCTCCCTCTCACAGCTGCATGTCCCATTCTCCTTCTGTGCTTAGTCTTAATACCTACACCTCAGACTTTTCATCCCAGTTTCCTTGAACAGCCAATGCTAATCTCTTGCTCAGGCTTCAACATCTGAGGCCATCTCCTACACACTGCAAATCCCTACCCATTTCCAGTCCAAGTCTCTTTGTCCCGTAAATTCCAGCTTCTGCAAGTCCCAGTCAGTTTCTGCCTTCTGAACTACCCTCCAGTTCTGGATCACCAGGCTCCTTTTCCCACTTTTTCCTTTCCGTGTCTCTAGTCAGACTTTTGACCCCTCTGCCTTTGAATCAGGTGGCTTCTTCCTCCCTGCTGCACGGTCCACAGTAAACAGGACTGTTCATAGCACAGGATAGGCTCTCTATTCCAGCCCAGGCAACCATTTCAGGGAGAGTCATGAAATGCAGCATGCTCTTTGGCTTTGAGCAGATGCTGCATGCACGATCTACTCGGCAAGTTTAAGGAACTGGACATGCTCCCAAAGGTTCAGGGAAGTCTCTACTGGACGCATTCCTCTGTAATTTTTCAGAATGTTTATAAATCAGCCAAACAAGGCAGATTTTCACCAGTGTCAAAAAGTACATCTCTAACAGAAAGGCCAACCTTGTGACAAATTTTAACTCTCTAGAGCCTCTCAAAGAAAAAGATGCACCATTTTTTTAAACATTCTAAACAATGTATTTTTCTCTTATTCTCAGAACAGGTAAGTTGTTTCGGCTGAATTAAAAAAAATAGCCTGAGACACAACAAGGATGGAAAATTTTAGGCCAAAAGGTTTAAGTTCAGCAAAACAATTAAAAAGTATTATAATGGAAGTGTAAGACAACCTTACAAATAGATGGTACTGCTAGACTCACCTATAATAACCTAGATTAATATTCAAAACTCTCAAATAATACTTCTTGCTTATTAGACACACACACACACACACGTGTGCATTCGGGAGAAAAAATCAGTCAAAAATTTCAGCCTTTCCTGTCTTTATCAGGGTTTTAAAAATCCATGCAAAAGCTTTACATAACTGCAGGCAAGTTTCTTTGAGTAGATGTGATAACTTTTATTAGACCGAGTAGTTGGAAAAAAGTTCTTGGCAAGCTTTAAGGTCCAATCACCCTTCTTCAGGCATAGGGAGTTTCTGCTGGTTACATAACTGCAAATTCTCTACATTCTAAAAAAAAGTACCATTTTCTCATCCACTCAGGGATAATATCAGTGGCTGGGAACAGCTGAGCAGAAAAAAGGAAATGATAATAAAAATCTATGTCCAAAAAAATAAAATCATTAGAAAAACACTTAGACACAGAAAATCATGGAAAACAAAGAAAAACATAGGAAAACGCATAACTACCAAGGCCAGTATGCCCTGGGCAGCAGTGGTAGCAGTAGTGAAACTGGAGAGGCACCCAGGGCAGCAGCCCCCAGCACTGCCTTTGTGGCAGGGTGCAAACACAGCTGCTGGTGCAGCACTGGCTGACTACATGGCAGCAGGTGCAACCCCCCATGAATCATGGCTGCCCAGGGCACAGAACAGCCTGTCTACACCTCTGAGTGGCAACAAAGACTAGGCTGGCTGCAATAATGGATGCTGTTCTTGAGCCTCCTTGAAGTGGGTGCCTGGTCATCTTCCCCCCCCCCCCCCCCCCAACTCCCACTTATACTACTGGGAAAGTAGGTTCATGGGGACTGATTCTCACAAACACTTCTGCACTGAAAGCAGGGCAGGGTAACCTTTAGCAATTACCTGGTTCAAAGAGGCACAAGCTTTCACAGGTGACAACTTATTCCATTAAAAAAAAAAAGAGTGCATTTTAAGAGTCTCACCGATTTGGTGGGCCAGGGCCATTTACATGAATACTTTCATGGACACAAGTGTTTGCCTGTTGAGGGCAAGAGCATATGGAGAAAACTTGACAATCACATCTCAGCTCCCTATCCACAACCAGCAATGTCTAATTCCTGACTTAACAATGATTCTCAACCAGGTTGCTATTGCACCCTTGGGATACTGAGATCCTTTCAAGGGTGATGCAGTGTGCCACAGTGTTAGGCATGCAAACATGATTCACAAAATAAACCCAGATGCATGGTGCTCAAAGCATTCAGCCATTGCGGGGAAGGTAGACTTCCGGCCTGGGGGGGGAGGGGGGGGGGGGGGGGGGGGGGTCTTTTTGAGATCTTTGCAACAAAAGACTTGCTCTTCCATTTTTCCATGGTCAAAAATGAAACAAAAGCTAAGGGTTGGCATTTTCAAGGGTGCTTGGAGTCAACAGAGGTTGGGAACCAGTGTTTGAAGGTGTGTAACACTTGAATCCAATCTGCTCCCCTTGTTCAAAATACCAGCAACTTCCTGCCATTTCTAGGCAGATGCAAGTTCCTTCTCCTAAATCAAGATCTGGAAACAGAGCAACTTTGTTCTGCCAGAAGAAAGGAGCAGCATCTGGTACAGCGAGTTTGGGCTCATGGAAGTTTGTGCCAGATGTACGTCTACTCTGGCTAGTCCCGAACAGCGGTGCTCAAGCTTTGGGTTCCCAGGGGCCTGATGAGGCGTGTGGGGCCAGTCCACAAGCTGGATCAAGCCCTGCAGGCCAGACTTGGGCTTGTGGGGCTTCAGCTGCCCCCCTGGGCAAAGGCTGGGCCCTGGCACTGCCCCCTCCCTACCCTGAGCACTGGGCCGCCCCCACGGGCTGGGATTGAGCCGGCGCGCTGGGACCGGGCCTGACCCAGGAGGCAGGGCTGGGGCGGCCCCGGGGCAGGCACTCGGCAGCAGGGAACAGGTAGAGACCGCAGCAAGGGGCGGACGGGCCGGGGCCGGCCTGAGCCCGCGGGCCCGCCCAAGCGCGGGGCGGGCCACACGAACAGGTCAGAACGGGACCCCGCCGCGTGACGTCACGGGGCGCGTCATCGCGCGCCGCGCGGGGCTAAGGAAGCTTCCGCGCCTGCGCCGCCCTCCGCAGTTGCCGCGCGGGCGATGTGCGGGGCGGGGCCGGGGGACGGTGTTGCGTGGTGTTGTTTCCATGGCTGGGGCTGTTGCGTTGCTTAACACATTTAATCGTCTGGTCTGAGCTCTTCTGCAGCTCGGTGTATTGTTCTGTTTATAAGGTCCATTCTTGAAGGTTTAGCGGCGGGGGCTCTGCCCACGTTTAGAAACAAATTCTGGCAGCCTCCTCTCTGAACTCTTCCAGCCTCCACCTGCTGTGGGGCGGGGCTGTGCATCGGGGGTGTTCTCTTGGCTTTCCATGGGAAGCTCAACTTCTGGCCAAGCAACAGCTTTTGGAAAGCCTTGCAGCTTAAGCCTGCTCTGCTGGGTCAGAGACTGGCTGGGGAAGGTTAAAATCCAGCTGGAGCCAGGGTTGAGGGGCTGGACAGGACCGGCAGGCAAGGTGGTGCGGAAGGGGGTGGGAGAAGGTGGAGGACGCCTCGTTCTTGAGCTCCTCTTCTGTAGTATGGGAGCGTTCTCATCCTCTTGCCAGCCCAGAGTGCTTTGAAGATGCATATAATTAAACTATGAATTGTATGAACTGGATACTGTAGTGCAGGAGGCCACAGAAAAGCTTACGAGGAAATCCATGATTTTTATCCTCAGAGCAGGTTGTGACTAATGTACAATAAACAGGGCCTGGGGCGTGCATGGAGCAATGCCGGTGATACCAATGCTATTTGTTAAGGCAGAACCATCCCTCTGGTGCACTAAATGAGGGAGGGTTTTCCTGTACGGGAAGCAATATTCTCTGTCCAGACAGTAACTATGCAGACATACCGGAGGGCCAAATTGTGATTGTGTAGGCAACTATGTCTCAGATTTCCAAAATTTTGAGTGCTTTTGCACCCTTAATAATGTTTTTTGGTAGCATGTTGTTTTACCTTCGTTGTTCAGTGTATGACGCCAGGCTGTATTTACTGTACATTAGTCATCCTCTGCTCTGTAGGCATAACTCATTGACTCTGTCAGGAGCTTTTCTTTGGCATCCTTAAAACATAATCTTTCTGTGCAGTGTATGAATTCTTACCTGGCATCTCTAAAGAGTGGTAGGTGAAGGGACATCAGGATTCATGGAAAGACTTTGGTGATACTCAACATCACCTGCTTACCTGTCTCCTGCAAAAGAAGTAACAAACCCAAGTTTCATGTACAGTGAGTGGAAAGAGTTGGGTGTTGGAATGAGGTTCTCAACAGCCAGCCTGCTTAGTGAAGGGATGCTTAAGCTAGGCAGTGGGAAGTACTGAAGAAAACTTGTCTCTCTGGGTCTTTAGTACCTACTTGCTGCCTTGAGTTGCATATTTCTGTGAGATTTAGGATTCCCAGAGAAATCCCCTCCAGGGCTTTGGCACCTGAGCCATCACTTTGTGTGAGGATGACTGTCTCTCACTTAACATTTAAAAAGCAGTAAGCAATGGTAGTGATGTTGCAGTCCACCTTTTATGTAATAGCGTAGTGAAACTGGCACATGCCCAGAAAGAGGAAGACCTAGATTCAGTGCCCCTTCTCAACTTGAGAGGGTTCAAACTACAGCTCTTACCTCCTGTGGCAGTACTCTAACCACCTGCCTAGAGACTAAGCTGGCAAGGGGTCATCTTGCACTCTTCCTGCTGCAGCTGTGCCACTCTGTCGTTTGGCGTGTAAAATTCATGGGCCAAAGGAGACAGTTAACAAAAGAGAACAAGACTCTTCAGCCCAGTGGTAAGTGGGAGAATTCTGGGGTTGAATGCCTTCAGGCTAAGAAGACCTAATTTCCAGCTCTACAGATCTGAGCTTAGGGACACCCTGATCAATGCTGTGTCTACCAGGTTCTCATGAAGCAGGCTTTGCCAGACTGAAGATACCCAGCTTTGTCCTCAGTGCCAAGCAGAATGTCTTTGGAGATCTTGCAAGACTGGACTTGCTTTTCCTTCTCCCTCTTGTCACAGTTGAAGTGGCACAAGGTGTGCTGCTGCTTCTTGGCCCCGAGGAAGCAAACATCCCTGTGTGTCTGGATGCACCCTGTGTGGCTAGGCAAGCACATGAATGGGACCACAGCAAGAAAAAGCTGGGACACGTTTATGGAGCACTGAAAGAATTGTACTCCAGTGTTAAGGACACTGGGGTTCTGAAGGGAAGAAAACAGGCGCATGTTACCTGCCCAGCTTTAGACAGGCAGGGAGGAATTAGGAGGAAAAAGAACTGAGTGGAGAACAGAGTTTGCTCTCAGGGGCCTGGGCAGGGAGGAAATCTGCTCCTTTCTTGTACTTTCAATTTGCTTTTCTGTTTTTTTCCGTCTTATAATGCTCCCATCCTGGAGGGGGAGAGGTTGAATATTCCATTAGGGAGAACTTACAAAGCCCTTTCATTAAACTCCAGCACTGAGGCAGGAGCAAGCATGCTTGGACCTTCTCTGACAGGTATTGGGGAAAACCTGCCTTTGCATCTCTCAATCTTTAACCTCTGACACCATGAGGGGAAAGAATGTCCCAAAATGAACATGAGATCCAAAGAGCCTGAACTTTGGAGAAACTGAATCTGGACCAGACCTCAGAGCCCAGACCTGTGAGCTAGAAGCAGAGACTGTCTTACCCCTGAACATTTAATTCTGTCTTTTAAATTCTGGTCCTGCTATTTAAATGTTGAAAATTGGGTATAAACAAAAGACTTTGGAGCCCTTGGTCCTGAAAAGTGTCACAACCCAAAGGGTGTGATTTTTGTTTGTGTGCGCTTCGGCACTGCTAAATTGTCCCCGCTAAATTGCAGCTTCCTTGCACGGTGGAGTTTTCTGCTGCAAAAGAGAACCCCGGTGCAAGGGAGAATTTCCCGCCAATTTGAAGCTTTCTTTGCAGGGTGCATTTCTTTGTTGCAGCACAGAAATGCTCATTGCAAAGAGTTCCCGCCATTTGTATGCTAATTTGGGTCCCATTATTGTCCAGTTCTAAATTATTCACACGTGGCGGCTAGTGATTGGCTTGCTATAAGAGGCTTGGGTGGTTTCCGCCCAAGTTGGAGGACTCCACGAACAAGGGAGGAGGAGACTTCACGCTGTGTGAAGATCTCTAAGCGCTGCGGATCCTTACGGACCCAGTGCATTTAAAGCAGGCAACAGAGGCCTGATCAACCTCTAGCCTCTCCCCGTCGCTGAGCACAATCCAGATGTATCCCTTCCCGTGCACAAAAGAACTGGACCCACGGAGCCTAGCAAACTTCGTGTGAATGAGTGAGCAGAAGGACCCACGGAGCCTAGCAAACTTCGTGTGAGTTTATTCAGAGCTCTTCCGGACGAGTACTTTCTTCGGCTGACACGACGGGTTTGTGTGTTCAGAGCCTTCAGCCGGATTGGGCTAGAGTTCACGAGTCTAGAACTCTTGTCCGCTTCTCTTCTTTTCCTGTCTGTAACTGCAACTTAAGCAAGTTTTCCAGCCTACACCACTGCCATCTCGGTGTAAGTAAATAATCTTTTAAACTACTGCTACGCGTCCGTGCCTAATTCCAGTTCGAAGGCCTTCCCTCTCTGCCCCGGCGTGCCCGGGCTGCTGGCCACAGCCCGTGTGCAGCGCGAAAAGGGCTAGGGTCGCTCCTGGCCCGCACAAAAAGTAGAGGCAGGCAATTTTTTTTGGCCAAAATCTTTTTTTTGTGAGAAATACCAAACTGGTGAACATGAAATGGTTTGTGAATCTGTGTCAATTTTGCCAAATTACCCATTTCAGGGGGAAAAAAACCTCTTTAAAAGATTAATAAAAAAAACATTTCATTTCATTTGAAAGATGTTAAACATTGTATTTCTTTGGTTCTATATGACATTTCATTCTGAAATGTCCTTTGTTATAAATTTCTAAAATTACTTCAAAGTTAAACATTTTGTTTTTAATTACATAGTCAAAATATATTGTTTTGGATCAAACTGAGAACTCTGTTATTTGTCCAGCTCTTCTGGGATGTTAAAAATCTCCAATGGATCCTCTTAGCTGTATAAAGCAAGAACAAGCCTTAGGATTTTGGATGTGGTTTATGGTTAAACAGTCTCATAGAACAGCCTGCAGCTCTGTGCTTCAGAGGCAAGTTTTCTGCCAATGTTTCAGGTTTCACCCACCAGTCTGTGGGAAGTGTTGGCTTTGTTTTTAAAGTGCTTAAGGCCAGTGAGTTTTTTGTTTCCTTGATAAGCAATTAACCCTAGCATAGTCTTTGATGGTTAGTTTATAGACTAGAGCACAGGCAAGACTTCCTCTCCTGGCACAAGGATCAGACATAAAGAAGTGTAGGGAACAAATTGGACTTTATGGGCTAGCTTCAGACCCCTGACCTGGGTCAGGATGACAATGGATCAGTTGCATGGCAGGAGTTAGTGAGCATGGATTCCAGGGACAACTGCTATATCATATGAGCAAAAACACATGGAAAGTGCAGTTCCCATCCTGCTCAACTGGATGAGGGTTGTAGCATTTGCTGCTCTGAGACTGTTTAAGGCTGATTCATCTCTGGGACAAGGATCAGAGGGGGCGAGGATGGAGAAGCAGTACGCTGACTCAGAGACGAAATGGGAACATAGCTGAAGAAGCAGTGCCAGTTTCCCCTTTTTTTCTCTGCACCTTGCTGGGAGATCACTATGAGCCTGATGCCTGCAGGCTGTTGTTATCCCAGAGAGATCCAGCATGAAGAAAAGACCTTTTTCCAGGAGCTATAAGGCCCTATTGCCAGAGAATCAACCCATATTCTGATCCTATCCTTGCTACTCAGGGCACCAGTTACAAATCCATAAGTGATTAGGATCCCCAGCCTTTCCTATCTCTTAACTCCTCTTTCCTTCTCCAAATC